ACATGCATATGCATAACTTTACTGATACCGATCGTACTGGTCCTGCGCGGCACCGCGTGCTGCGCAGCTATCTTATTAGTAAATAGATTGTAAAAAGGTAATTCTTGAATGTGCGCCAGGTTTGTAGCGTAGGCAAAATTCTTTAAAGATCAATGATGTTAAGCTAACGCTTATACGAAGGTTAGGTTTTAATTAAGTATATAGTAAATTGCTCAAAGAAAACTTTTATTAAAGCACTAAAAGTGATTTATTATGCAAATTTTTTGAAAAATAAACGATTTTTTGACTTGGTTTGAATTTTTTTAATTGTGTAACTTGATTCATAGATCAGAAAATCTGCGTCAACAACCTGGCACATTATAGGTGCCGTCAAAAGTTAGAAAGGAAATTTTGACAATGATTACTAATCATTTTTAATTGTTAAAACTTCATTATTTGAATTTTGATAGCATCTATTTATATGGGGTAACAATTAAGTGATATTCTTATTAAAAAGATTTCTTAGCTTACGCGTAATGAATGTACACATATATTAATTAATAATTTGTTAATCTGTATAAGGCCGCTTGAAGTTAAACTTTTGTTTAACGTTATCCCCCCTCCATCCCCTGAGCCCCCCCTAAAATTAAACAAATAGAGGTGACAAATTAGTCAGTGTAATGGTAGGCACAGCAATCGGAATTTTTCGATTATATTCGGGATTTTTCGGTATACAATATGTTTATTTTTTATATTTGCTTCCCCATGAATACGAAAAAAAATAACGTTAAACGAAACTTTAACTGCAAGCGGCCTAACATGGTTTATTAACAAACTTTAACCTGTTTAATATTGGGTAGGGTTAGTTTTAGAGCTTAGAGAAAAACATAGCTTATACAAAAATTTTGTAGGGAATCTATTTTGTTAGAACCTTAGAAGTAGCTTTATCACTAAAAATTTTGAAAAATAATAATATCCGTGTATATACACATAGTGTACAAATAGAAATTCTCTTTATTAAATATTTAAAATGTTTGTTTGATAATTATTTATACAAAATAGTTAAAGATTTATTTATTTTTGGTTGATTTTGTTAAAATGTATCACTGAAAAGTTGGTAACATACTTGCATAGATAACTTTCATTGGCCTTTTTTCAAATGATAACAAAAACCATTATCTAATACTATTATAATCACATTTCATATCAAATGATGATAATAGACTATGAGAACAAGTGCTGTTGTATCCGGAGCGAATTAAAAAAATTGTCTAATCATTTATATGCTTTGTATCGTGGACGGACAGATGGTCAGAATCTACCACAATATCGCCATCAAAAATTTCACCCCACGAAAAAGTCTTTAAGTTCATTTATGTTTGGATTAGCGTCTAGATTAGGGTTTGGATTTGGGCAAATAAATAGTAAAATCGTCATTAGTTTCTTGCGCAATTTCATGACAAAAAAGGCGTTTTTTTTTTAGTTTTCCTGATCGTGTTACATTACATAAATTTTATCTTCAATTGAACTACCCCAAGACCGCCATCAAAAGTTCAGTCATGTGAAGCCAATAGGTGTAACGTAACACGATTAAGAAAAGTCCAAAACAAAAGTTCGTTTTGAAAAAATCGCTTATCACCCAATAATTTACATAAGAAATCGCCCTTTGTCCTCTAACAATAATAACAATAAATTTTATTATTAATATCTCTAATTTCTAACCCTACTATAAGCGCTATCCCAAACATTAAAAACCCAAAGTTTTGCAGAATATCACGTGACTGTGCAAATTTTTGGCGGTGCTTGGGAAGATCAGTCAGATCATAAGATCAGGCGCAACATGAAACCGAAAATAATAGCAATGTTTTTTTTTAAAAAAAAAAATCGCTTGTAGTTCAGAATTTTGCTTATGAAACCACCTTGCGCGTTCTACTAAAAAAAAATTTCTTGTAAATTTTGGTATAAGGACGTTTTTTGCCAATTCCCTACTCATAAGTTTAGTATCAATTGCGAAATAAGCATATCGTTCAGCACCAACCGAGAATGGTTGTGGGGCAAGCTTAAAAGATATGTTTTGAACAGTAAAGTTTGAATTAATAAAATAAAGATCATCTTGAATTTCAGCCAGACTTTTAGGTGGAATATAGCATAGAATTTCTCCTGTTTTCTCTAGAAGAGTTGTCCAATCAGGTTCGAGTGGATTGATTTGAAGTTTTTTTTTGTTGTAAAGAGTATATACTTTTCGAGTTTCTTAAAGTAGTGGTTAGTGTGACAGAAGAAAAGATGGCAGAACAAGTAGCCTTGCAGAATTTATCAACTAATGTTGAAGGGTTCATTCCTGTAGTCTTGAGATCAAATACAGGAAATTCACCAATTATTTCACGAAATATGCCAAGCATAATTTCAGTAGAATTATTAATTTTTCCAAAATGGTATAAAATGTTTTTTGATTGCATCTCTTTTAGTACACTTTCAGCGGTTAGACCATTCGGATCACCATTTGGATATCTGTCTCCTCTTATGTTACTAAAACGACGACCATGTGGTGGTGCATCGCCAATATGAATAAGTATACGGGTGGCATTGCTCCAGGTCATCGTAGTTATCGCTGCATTAAGACCGCCTAGGACATCTTCTGGAATATCACCGCCACCTTGAGCACACACTTTATTAGATATATATGATTCAAATTTCTCAAGAGAGTTAGTAAAATCAAAAATTTGTAAACGATTACGATCATTGTGATCACGATATCCACAGAAGCCAATCCAGAATTTAATATTTGAATTATTGTTGTTAACGTAATTAGCCACCTTTAATATATGCTTTCTCGCTGCTCTAATATAACCAATCATAGAAAGTGTACAATCTAAAACGAAGCAGAGATCAACGCTCATCGCATTTTCAACATTAGTGATTGCTCTTGAGACATCATTTTCTCTGTTTTTTTCGTAAATATGTAACTCTGTCTATTATTGTAGATGTAGATGTACTACTAATTTGATCTCTTTCATCTTCGTAACGTTTGAGACGTTCTTCTAATAGTTTTGCATTACCTGTATTACCTATAAGCGATTCTGGAACGGTTCCGGTAACGGAAGAGAAATTTGAATTTTGTAAGTTTTCAACATGACAATTGTTTGCTGAACAATTATCTTCTGTTTTCTTATCCTTTTCTATATGCTGAAATGCTTCAAAAGAACTTGACATTGGAATTGTTCTAAACGTTAAAAGAGTTATTGTCTGAAGTGTAGCAGAGGACACCTATTTCCATGCAATGCTACCAATAAAATTATTTAATCAGATAGTACTGCATATTTATGTATAACGATAATATCCGATCAAATATCTTTGGAATTTTCTGTAACGTTTAAATTTCTTAAAATGAGTGTTGCCAAGCAGTTCTAAAAAATAGATTATTATGAATTTCACAATAATCTATTTTTAGAACGGCTCCTTTTCTTTTGGGAACACTCAAATATACTTAGCATTATCATTATTTTATTACTTAATTTAGGTCGTTCTCAAGCGCCTCAATCAATGAAACAAAATGCTTCGAAAATGGTTCAGGAATTAAATTTTAATTAGTGGAAAACATTTTAACCGATCAAACGTGCTCGTCATTAAGATGAATAGTGCACAGAACACGTAGTTTATTTACAGTAAAATGTGGAAAATAAGCACTGCATCCTCTGTTGTAGGAAGCTTTATATAATTTGCCGTTTAAGTCAATTTAATTATATAATTATACAGCTTAAAGTACTTTTTAAAAAAATCGAACCACAAAGAATAAATAAAAAAATATATATAGAAAGTTTTATTAGAGTCGTAAGACACCACTATTAAAAATAATCCAAATCCCATTTTGTTTTAGAGAAGTTAACATAATAACGACTTCTGAAAAATAGGTGATTATCATAATTTCTCTGAAATGAAAGAAACTTTTGATTATTTTCAACTGTAAAGTCATACAACCCTAATAAACCTTTTTATATACTTCTTTCTTAATTATTATTTGTAGTTTTATTTCTTTTTAAAAGTACGTTAAATTATACAAATAATGTAAAATTAAATTGATTTAAACAACCAATCATATGAAAATCTTTCTATGACATCCTCTGCCCTACCTTTTCAATCTCAGATTAGTTGAGATAGTGTAACGAATAAAATTTATTTTATTTTATATTTTTGTTAGTATAGTCCTTTAATTATTATTTTTATTATTCCATGTAGATAGTATAACGAATTAAAAATTTAGTTTCAAATATATGCAGATTTTTTTCAGCAAATTATCCGCATGTATGTACATATTTTTAAAATTAACTTTAAAGTTAGGGTCATCTTAGATTAGGGCCATCTTAGGTTAGGGCTAGGGCGGGTTTTAGGTAGTTATATATATATATGCAAAATTGCCTTTCTGACACTTTTATTTAACTCACAAAGGTAGATTTTGACTGCAGTTTTTTGTATTTTTCAGTGGTTTCGCTTTTCTTTGTTTCAATTCGCCGGCGATCATCCAAATTGAATGGCCATGTATCACGTGATTATTTTCTGCTTTAGACGACCCCGATTTTGTTAATTTTTTTTGAACATATCATAACTTATACTTAAATGGTAATAATGGGTTGCTTAGTAGCTTGACCATGGATTTACTCAAGTCGCGTATTATTCTCGCTCGGAGCATTTCAATTTTACAGATTTATTGATAAATGGAAATAAATAATGGGAATTGTGCCATGCTGTGGCTCTAGGCCTCAATGTAATTTAACTTAAATTATACATTTCTAAATACAGGTCACCCTCGTTAATATCAACCCATTTGAATTGGTTTTAAATTATGTTGATAGTGATATTAATGAGAAATCATATTAAAGTTGATATGTATGAGGGAATTTTGATATATAAAAATTTATAAAAATTTGTCCTGTGGCTTAGGCTGATATTAACGGGGTTGATATTAACGAGGGTCACCTGTACATAATACTTGTCGTATTATATGACGAAGAATAAAGAAGATCGGTAACGTACATTGACATGACACAAAGGGATAGAAGACCCGCACACAGAAATGGCTCTCAATATAACCTAATAACCATTACCTAATAACCATTACTTTTGATATTTTTACAAGTAATACTAAACTTTTCTTTTCCCATCTAAATACTTTTATTACTTAATATCAGATGAGCATTGTGAAGCAAGTCGCTAAGCAAAATCACCCACAAGCCAGAAAGCAAGTTCCCGGACATCTCAATTCTCATTTTTTCTCTTTTCTCCTTTATTACTAAACATAAGATAAGCTTCATGAAGAATGCTTAAAAATCGATTTACTTAATAATATTTTAATTTTTATACTGTATATAAAAATTATTTATAATTATATAAGGATATTTTATTAATCAAAAATTTAAAAGTTTACTTTTTTTTTTTTTTTTTTACGGTTTATAGAGCGACCTCAGTGGTCAGTAAACTTTATTATTAAGGTTTCCAGCTTCCATATATGAACAGAAGGGTTTACAGTAACATATTAACGAGAGTACAATGAGCCACATGTACAACTTTAGTCATTGTCTATTTAAGGGTTCCGCCCATAGGTTCCCCACTCATTGCCATACCTGAGACCCGCTTGTGAGTCCCCTATTTAAGCTCTCTGATTTTCAATGTTATTCTGTTCACCTGAACGTTAATTAGCAGTTACATCCAACCTTCGGGCTACTTTACCCACGAGGTAGGCTCTACCGAAGGAGGTGGTTTCCACAGCCACACCTTATCTAGATTTTTTGTGCCAGAGGTGATTCCATATTAGGTAAGGCAATCCTTTTCCACAAATGTTGATGACATTCTCCATATTTCTCACTATAGTAGTGTCCACACTCTGCCATACCAGTTTCCTTCTGGGAATTCCTTAATTCAAATATGTACCTTCACTTGGACTTTCACAGGGCTTCGCATATGATTATAGGCTATTTAAAAGTTTACTAAAAAATAGTATTGTGATTATAAATTATTTGTGATTATATAAAAATATTTTAAATAAAAAAATATTATAAAATTTTCTGATTATATGAGTGTCGCTAAAAGAAACCCCAAAATTTAAATAACCTATATTTAAATTTTCGGTATTCTTTTAGCAACACTCAAATAAAGGTTATAACTAGAGATGCAGATGGAACTTGAAGTATTGAGATTTGCTGTAATGTAACTGAGTTATAACAAGTCATAATTTTTTGGCTTAAGCTACAGCATGCTATAGCATGTGTATATCTCTAACTAAAATTTTATATGTAGAAATTTGCTGCAACTCAATTTCATGTATCAAACTTGCTGTAACTTGTAATTTGTTATATGTCTGTTTTTAGGCTAATTAGACAGAAAATTTTCTTTTTTGGATGAGTTATTTGACTATCAACTTCTTGAGATGTAATAATTTATTTCATTCTTGAAGTGGTTTTGACAATTGTTTAAAGTAGAAGGCTAATATTATAATTTAATCCAGATAGTAAAGAACAATCATTATTTAGAGTCAAATTGTCTTTGTTCATATTTATCGTAGAAAAAGCTTTCATTAATAGATGATAATTTCATAAAATATATAATCTATTTTTATTGCATATAAATATATAAACTATTTTTATTATCTCACTGATTGATATATGAGGTCTTTCACATTAAAAGGGCCTATTTTGCAATATAAACAATTTTGAGATAATTGAGTTAAATCATTTGTTTTGATTTTTGGACTGATCCGGGGTTAAGCAAATTTCATGATTTTGATTGGTTAAACGTAACAGATGACTATTGGGTAATCTCATGCTATGCTTGACTTTAGACAACCTTGTATAATTTTTCTTTTACATTATTTTTATTTTTTATTATGCAAATCACTTTTCATTTATAATTAAAAAATGTTAGTCATGTTAAAATTTACATGAATCTAATAAAAACTCATTTTTCAAAAAATTTGCAAAATAGGCCCTTTTAATGTGAAAGACCCCATATTACTATATTTCATATATATCTAATTAGTTATATATATGCTGATTGTAGTATTGATTAATTAAATATAAATACTATCATAGCAATAGATATCAAAATTTTAATTTATCAATATGGTATTTGAATTCATATAAACCTGGGATTCATACAGTACTTGGAATTTATACAGCATTTGTGACTCATAAAGAAATTGAGATTTATTCAGCAATTAGGATTCATGTGGTTTTTGCTATAACCATACTATAACTTGCTGTATGTCATATGGTTTATTGGGACAGTTCTACCTGCATCTCTAGTTATGACTAGTGATAGACAAATTAGCCTTTTATGCAAATAATATGCAAGATGTATAGTATACTTTTTAGTATTATTTAAAAAATTTTAAACTGCCTACTGATGATCAATCTTAGTCCAATTCTTGACTCAAAAGTATAACTATATTTGACAATTGTTCTATTACTCAGCATTAATTACTATATTTTCATATAGTATTACTTTATTTTTTATACTTTGTTAAATCTTACATATTATTATATTTATTTTTTTCTATGACCACATTTTATATTTGTTAGCTAAGTATTACCTTATTTTTTAGTTATCTTGCAGTTATTATTTTATATTTATAATTATATTTAAAAATTATTTTATTGTCTTTATTGAAGAAACTGTGAGAAAAAGCAAAGTAAATAAATATATAAGAAGCTAGTTTTGGACTAAAGAAAAAGAATCATTATAATATAATTTTTGTATATAATCTTCTCAATATAAATAAATAATAAATAATAAAACCTATTTGCTGCCAAAACAAGCAACTCTTAATTATTAATATTATACTTTATATATACTAATATAAATCCAAATTAATATATTTACCTATAATTAATAATTATAGATTAAAAACAATATAACCAACCCAAAAATATATATTATAATTTAAAAATCTTATTATATTTTATTTTTTTATTTTTATTTTTTAATATTAAGATAATCACTTTGAAGTCTAGCATATTTTATTAAATCTAGATTCAAATATTAGTTCTGCTATATATAAACAACACCTGACTTTATTACATCAATAAGAGTATAATTGTTTACTAATACAACTTTAGTTATTGCCTAATTAAAGGGTTATTTAAAATTTGGCACCTTATAAAAATACCTGATATATAACCCAGATTAGTCTAAACAAGCCAAAATAAAATAGCAAATACAAA